CCCCGGACAGACAATGCCGCGTCGCATGCCGTGAGCTCCAGAGTCCTCGATTGTACGTCGTAGTCGACACGACAGGCGACGGGTTCTTCCCGGCCGGCACCCTCTGCAAAGCCGATCGATCATCTCGTGGCTATTGCCACTACGGGAAATGCATAGCCGAGAGCAAGTTCGAAGTTATCTTACACAGAACGACTCAGGAGAAGAACAAAGGTCAGAATTTTTCAGAACACTGAGGTTGGGCCTGGCGAAAAATTCTTGGGAAACACTGGTCCAGACTTTCGAATTTGAAGACCGTGAACTATTTTCGGCTAAGCACTGCATGACCACTCACTCGAGAACCTCCCACTAGAATTATCGCATTTCTAGTTTCAGAATTCTCTGATTCTGTCCGAGTTCGCCGCGGCGCAGAGGACGACGTACAATATGTGAACCTATCGGAGTACCTCAGAGATCTATCTCCCTTGAACTCCACGAGGACATCGCCATCCGGAGGATAATTACCCCCGACAGCTGCCATGTTACAAATACACGAGTTGCCCAGAGGCATAGAGCTTTGTTTTTGGTACTTGTCCCTTCCTGGAGCCATCTCCGAGAGCTTCAAGGAGATACGAGGCCGTGATTCTTCTCGGGACGATTCGCTCGCGTTTCTGGGGGGCCTGGATTCCGATGAATGCCGGCTCACGGTCCATAACACTCATATAGGGCTTCCTCGATAAAAACGAGTGAACATCATTTATTTTATCCTCATCATCATTATTATTCTACAAAACAAAAGCAACGATTCCTCCTTGCCTCTGGTCTACAAGGGGCTTCTTCTCGACTCGGGAGACTTAACTGTGCAGTCGAATCTTAAGTTTTGCGATCCGCCTCGGGGGACAGTGTTCGATAGACCCATCCCCCAGTCCGTCATCGTTTTCGTATTTTCAAGAATCGGAGTGTCTGTAGGGCCCGGTGTAGGCATGCAGGTTCATCAACTCGACGTTGAAACAGCTTATCTTCACGGGCAATTGCAAGAAGAGGTGTTCGTGGAACAACCTGCCCTCTTCGAAGTGGAAAATGAAGTGTGCCTGTTGAAGAAATCGCTATATGGACTTAAACAAGCCCGCCGTGTATCATCCGAGACCCTCAATGCGAGCCTCGAAGGTCTCGGCTTGAAGGAATTCGAGCCCGACAGATGCTGCTACTACACGCAACGAAAAGACCTTATTCTCATCCTCACTATTTACGTGGACGATTCTCTTCTATTCACGAATAGTGCCGAACCGCAGTCAGACGTAATCGCCAATCTCGCAAAGATCTTCCCCATGAAGAACCTCGGACCAACGACTTACTGTCTGGGAGTCGAAATAACGCAGAGACCGAACGAGAGGATCATACTGCTCGATCAGAAGGAAGCGATCACGAGAATGTTGAGAAGGTTCGGGATGGAAGAATCCAAACCCACAGCAACTCCCCTCGAAGTGAGCGTGACGCTAACGAAGAGAAAAGAGAATGAAGAACCTACCAAAGCCCCGTACAGGGAAGCTGTTGGGTGTCTCTTGCATCTCTCCCAGACCACAAGACCAGACATATCTCATGCAGTTGGCGTAGTCAGCCAGTTCTGTTCAGACCCCACGGACTCTCATTGGTCGGCTGTCAAAAGGATTCACCTTCACTACCTAAAGGGCTCAATCGACCTGAAACTCAGATTCGATGGGAACGATACTTCGGATATGGTAGTGTTCTCGGACGCCGATTGGGGAGGGGGGGTGCAAGGACTGCAGAAAATCCACTACCGGTTACGCTGTCATAGTGGCTGGAGGCTGCATTTCCTGGATGAGTAAGAAGCAACCGACTGTTGCTCTTTCTACGAGCGAAGCAGAATATATGGCTTGCTCAGCCGCTTGCCAAGAGATGAAGTGGCTGCTGAATTTCGAGGAGCTCCCCGCGGTCCAGGTCAAGCGTCCGATGACATTGTGGTGTGACAACAAGGGAGCGATTCTCCTCAGCGACAATAACGTCTTCCATGCAAAAACGAAACACATCGATCTCAGGCACCACGTCATCCGCAATATGGTGTCAGAGGGACTTGTATCCATCAAACACATTTCGACGAACGAAATGACCGCGGACGTTTTCACCAACAACCTGAGCGTGGAGAAGATCAATCGCTGCAGGAGACAGTTAGGTCTCTATTGAGCTCCGTGGTCCCGCGCACGGGGAGGTGTTGGAAAGTGCGCTGAACCAACGGAGCCGGTGCGGCGTTTGCCGCGATCACTTCTTCGTCGGCCTAGCGGGATACAATTTCAACGGTCAATAGAAGCAACACTCACTCTAAGGCTGCGCCACGCACAGCACGTGTTATCACTGAGTATCTCTAGGAAACAGGTCCAACGGGCCCAGGAACGTCGCTGCTGATATCTGATATCTCCGCTGCGGGAGTAGCCATCTCGAAAGTCGAAAGCACGGCACTTCGTCTTCGGAATGAATCAAAGACCGCGGCAGCACGGATTTATAGAAGACCTCTGGCCTGTTTTTTTGACTTAATGAAACGTCCATTGATGCCCGGAATCCATCATTCAGAAGGAGCGAGCGCTCCTAGCGTTTTTGCGAGGGAAGGCACATCGATCTGACATCTGACACTGATTCGATAGATATATTGTTTGTTCCTTATCTCGTTTGTCCCGAATGACAACGAAGTCGACCATTTCCGCAAGAGACCCCCAGCTCTGCCGCGACTGGCGAGTCTTACAGTGAGCTGAGGAGCCCGCGCGCGTCGTTTCGTGACGGATTCCTCGCCCTTTCAGGAATGTCGATACTCGAGAATTGAGATATTCAGTTCCATTGTCGGTTCTCAGCGTCTTGAGCCGAGCGCCGACCTCGTTTTCTGCGTATCTCACAAAATCTCTGAGTTTTTCGGAAACTTCAGTCTCCGACTTCAGGAAGAAAACTACGGTGAAACGCGTGAAATCATCGACGAACGTGATGAAGTATCTGTACCCGCCTATACTGGGAAAACTCATCGGCCCACAGACGTCGCTATGCAGTAGTTCGGACACGGTCAACTCGATGCCGGACAACTCGATGCCGACACCTCGATGCCGACAACTCGATGCCAGGACAACTCGATGCCGGGACAACTCGATGCCGGGCCAACTCGATGCCGGGAAGCTAGGCAGAGCCGCATTTGAGCAGTCCGAATGAAGCCCGTCGATCGCTAACATAAGAATTTCAACTAGAAACTCATCCCGCGACCAATGTTGCACACTGAGAATTAAACACTTTGACCCCGTCCGACCCAGGGAAATTTTCAATTCGAAAATCGAACGCAACTCGGCTTTACCGCTACTCTCGCTCATCCACCAACAAGGGAACTTCTCGACGCGCCAGTCTCACATCTCTAGGTGTGCACTCCACGCTCTGAACTTTTCGCTAGTATGAAGACTCCTCCACAGATCCTTAGAATGACCAGATTTCTCCCGGCTGCACTGTACCGCATGTCTGTGAAAGGATAAGCTGGTCGATAGGTCGAATAGATTCTGATTGATTTGCTTCCGAAGAAAATCACGGAAAGTTGTGCTCAACTGTGACTAATAAGCAGAAGTTCCTTGAGGCGGTGTTATTCCAAAACGACTATCTGTCGGTGTCCCGATCGGGCATCGATTCGTCCGGCTTCGACTAGTCTCGGCATCGAGTTGTCCCGGCATCGAGTCGTCCGGCATCGATTCGTCTGGCATTGAGTTGTCCCGGCATCGAGTTGTCCGGCTGTCCTTTGATGCCAGAGGACGCAATCCCTCTGCATGTTTTCCCGAGCTTGGTCTTCTCGCGCGTGCGAACCGCTTCCAGACGCCGAAGCCGTTGCTCCCCCGTCCTGGACGTCCTCCAAGTAGTTTTGGGCTGAACAGGCCCACGGTCTCTTGACATCGCCTGAGTTGTTTTGGGTCGCGACAGTCCCCCGGTTGCTCGTTGACCGCCGAGTCACTTCGGGCCGAACAAGCCGCTGGTCGCTCACAACCACCCGAAGCATTCTGGACTGAAGCGACCCCCGGTCTCTCATCACTCAGCCTGGAACTTCAGGCAGAATGCCATAAGTGCCTCTTTTTGCCTTATATACCGTTTGTTTGGCGACATTTTGCCTTTTCTACGTTTTCTCGAGGCATTTTGCCTTTTCCACCCTAAAGTCAAGTTCGAATGTTGCTTGGCAGTTTTTTTTCGGGCAAGACTTCAATCTGGTAAACGGAGAAAGCTACATTTGCTCTTCTACTCCGACTACGTGTCGGACCAAAGCTTTTCTCAGTATTATGGTATCCATCCCCGAGACTCTGTCGCGCGAGAATTGCCTCCGCCACGAATTC